AAAATGCACACAACCACGGCACTTGTCATCTTTGTATCTGGACTGACAGTCCATTTTGGTGGTGGTAAGACAACTGGCTTTGGTGTGATTTATGATCCCTTCGATTAAAAGCAGCCTATATGAGAGGAAAAGATGTCAAAAACAGGGCCGGGGATTTAGCTCAGAGACACCGTGCCTGCCTCACAAGGAAGGTGAAACCAGAATGAAGAAAGTCAGTGGAACTGCAAAGGCCAGGGAAGTGAGGTGGAGACTGGATAAGAACAGAAAAGATTAAAAATTCTGCCATGACTTTCTTTGTGGTGATTGTACAACATTTTCATGACAGGATTAATAAATTGTAAAAATTTGAAAAAAGAAAAGAAAACACAAATTTTGGTTGTTCCCAGGATGACCATCCCTATTCCACAGCCGAGGCTCAGAGAAGGAAGGGCTGGACCCCAGAGGTGTGGCTTTTATCTAAGGAACAAAACTGGACCCTATGTCATCGAAAACGAGGTGACTTGAAGTTCTTCAAGCTGAGGGCAAGTAGCTGGATATGGGAGAGGGCAGGCACACAAGCCCAGGAGAGCGAAAGTCAAAGGTTCAGAGAGACTCTGTAGACAGCCCGGGTTCCCAGCTTACAGCAGGCAGGGCTGCAAGTCCCACCCCATCTTCTGGGTTCTCTGTGTGATCCATCCCAGCAGCTGTGTGCCCGGTCCTCTTGGGAAATGTCTTGCTGTTGGACAGCTCAGGAGTGGACGGCATTCCCTGGCTCCACTTCCTCTGGTCTCAGATGCCAGCAGAGTACCAGCGCCCTCTGGGAGTTTCAGAATTGGAAAAAATGTAGGGAAAGGGTGCAGAGAAATTAAAATGACGATCAAGGGGCAGTCAGGGTCCTCTGAGGACAGACAAGGACAAACAGGAGCACCTGACTTGCTGGTGACCTGGGCCAGACACTTCTCCAGCCCTACCCATCTGATTGTCAGTCACACTCAATTAGTCTCCTGAATATGTCCCTATATTCTGCCTCCATGGCTTTTCAAAAACTGATTCTTTTACCTAAAACACCTCTACTCCCATCCAAACCCTGTTCTGAAAAACTCCTCAAAACACGTTTTCATCACCTCCTCTGTGCAGTGCTCCTATTTCCTAGAAGTGAACTCTCTCTGATCCACACACCAGGGTTGATGGCTCCCTTTTCTTTGTGCACCAGCACACCTGAGACTTCTTCCAGAACAGCTGTGGATCTGCTGCAAAGAGAATTACCTCAGGGATAATTTCAAAATATTCTGGCCCAGGCCTCACCCCATGAGAAACTGACTCAGGGAGTCTGAGGTGGGGCCAGGTGTCAGAAATGTTAGTGGTTGCCCCAAGCACTTGTGCTGCTCAGTGCGGCATGGGCATGGGGATGGCTGAGTGTGTCCCTGGAAAACGGTTTTCTCCCACATTCCAAGGCCTGGCTCAGAGGAGCACTGAGGGAAAGGGAGGGAGAGACAGAGTTAAGAAGAAGAGAAAAAAGTGGAGGTAGAAATGGGCATGATTCCAGAAGGGGCCAGAAGCAGGGGTCTTAGGGCAATGCTCCTGAACATTGTACTTATTGGCAGAGACACCAGTTTTGGAGTGAGACACACAGAGGGGCTGAGCCCTGGGTCTGCTACACCCAGGGACACCTCACCCCACCCCACCCGTTTCCTCTGCCTGATGGTAATGACTGCTGTGCCTGCCTCCACCTGATGTTGTGAGGATTCAGCAAACCCTTGGTGGGATCAATGTCTTTCAAGCATGGTGCACAGATGAACGAACAGGGGCCTTGGGAAAATGTAGATCCTGACTTACATCTGAGCCGGAGCCTGAGTCCTGCAGTTCAAACAACATTCTAGGGGGTGTTGGTGCTGCAGGTCTGTGGTCCATCTTTGAGAGTCGAGGACATCTATCTACAGTGGACACTGCCCCTTTCAGGGAGCCAGCCTGGTCCTCTGGGACAAGCTGGGGATGAGGCCAGAGTGCCCTCTCTAGAGCATGCTGCGTGCCAGGCACAGTGCCGACCCCTCCATATCCCATCTCACAGAGCCAGAGTCCCTGTTTTCCAGAATGTGAGTAATACTGACGATGCACTGCTTAAGCCCCACAGCACAGGTGTCCTTTCCCTACTGTAAGAAGTTACCACACATACACCTGGTGGCTTGAAACACCACCTCTTCCAATTCCAGAGGTCAGAACTTAAGCAACTTCTGGAGGCTCCAGGGTGGATCCACACCTTGGCTCTGCCAGCTTCTGAGCCTGCATCACTCACTCCCATCTCTGCTTATGTTGTCAGGTTGTGGCCTCCTGTCTCCGACCTCTTATCTGTCTCTTCTAAGGACCCTTGTGATTATAGCCAGCCCACTTGGAAAATCCAGGATATTTTCCTCATGTCAAGATCCTTAACTTTATCACACTTGCAAAGTTCATTTTTACCACGTAAGGCCACATGTCATAGGTCCTGGCAGTTAGGAAGGAGGCCATTACCTTACCAACCACAGCTGCCATCAGGTCTTCCAGCAGAGCCTCTGCAGTCAGATTCTGACTATAGCTCTTGGGCTGCTCAGCACCTCCTGGGACCAAACCTTCTATCACTGTCCCAGCAAGTCCAGGCTCTGGGCCGTCAGTGGTGGCCATGAGAGCCATTCCTCCACTGACCCTTCCTCAGCATAGACCCTCCTTGCTCTGTGCAGTGGTCACCCAATTGTCACCCAACTAAAGGAGCAGGACCAAGGTCATACAAATCCGTCAGGAGACTACTGGCAGACACGCTGGACGGAAGGTAGACAGAGCACTAGCCACAAAGGCAGTGGATAGTTATTAAAAAGGAAAAAGAAGCAAAAACCCCCCAAAACAGCGCTACTATTTTTTTTTAAAAAAAACAAGTATAGCCTTAACTCTGTGGCCCCTGACACATGGTACGAGCTGAGCTGACTGCCTGATGGCCACATGTTCCGAGCCTCCTAAAGGCCCTTGGAGGCAGGCTGAGTGACAGGTGTCTGTTCCTGCAAAGTGTCTGGGTCAGAGGGCGGAACAAGAGCAAACAGAGCCGGCCCTTGGCTTGGTCACCATCTCTGCAAAGCAAAGAATGGGGCTTTGGGCTTGCCAACAGGGGGACCACCCATTCTGATTTTCCTGGGACTGAGAGTTTTCCTGGGAGAACTAGGACGAACTGGTCACCTTATTTGTAGGGCAGCTACACAAACCCAGCAGTGGGCTTGGCTGCTGTCGACCCTTCACCCTAGGTGACTTGGCAGGCAGCCTAACACTGTCAGCTGGCCGGGCTCATCGCTGTTACTAGAGACTGTCCACAGGAAGCAGTCTCAGGGACAGCTGGAGCTCCAGGCTGTAAGAGAGGGCTGCTGCTGAGTCACACTGGTTCAAGGTCTGGGTGATTTAGAAGCTTGATTCTTTTCAGGTCAGTAGGTGGGGTTAGGGGTATAGGACAGAGGTAGGGCTCAGGCTGGAAGGAGGGGAGGAGAAATAAATCCTGAAAGTTAAGACTCCTCTGAGAAAGCTGACCGCCCTGTCAGAAGCCTGGTGATGGGGGTGTGCCTTTTCAGGGTCCAGACCGCTCCTTCGGGGGCCAGGACCCGAGGCTGGGAGCAAGCATGATGTAATGGGAATGGAGTCCTGGGGCCCAACAGACCCTGTGTTACCTGCCTGCAAGGTACTTGAAAAAGCCCCCTGGACCTCTGAGCATTATTTTCTGGCTTAGAAAATGCAGCTACTAATGACACCTCTGTGCAGAGTTAAGAGAAACAATCAACAACCAAGGAGTGAACTTGCCTAATACCTAGTAGGCTGCTTCTGGCCCCAGGCTAGACCAAGGTCAATGAGAATACAAATCAGCAACCAGAAGGCTGTCTGGTGAGCCTTGACTTAGGACAAAGGGAGCTGGATAGGCCCAGCGCTGCTCCGCCCACACTCTGGACCCAGGGGCCTTTCTGTCCTTGGGTAAATTCTCTCTTCTGCTCCTTCTTCTGGATTTTTTACTAGCCTCCTGGCATGCCCATCCTTCCTACATTACCTCATGTTGGCTGGGTTACAGAGGAATTAGATTCTAGTTCCATGATATGACGCACTGACATCCTGCTAGACTTTTCGTGTTTTCACATAAGTGATCTCATCTGACCATCATGCAATCCTTTGGCGTAGGCATCACTCTTCCCCATTTTACAGATGTAGAAACTGAGGCCTGAAGGGATTGAGGAAGCTACTTATGATCACACTGATTCAGGTCCTTGTTTTAGGCTGCAAGGAGACCCCATGACATTGCCAAGGCCGTAAGAGGGAAGCCCACGCTGGTGGAACTGCCACAGTCACCCAGCACTTGGAAACCACTCTGTCCTGTGGACACCCATAATTGGGACTGGCAGAAAATTCTTTTCTAAAGAGGATGGGCCTCCTCTCAGTCCCCACTAAGCTGCTAAGAGGTAATGTCCTGATTCTAGTGTTTGATTTAGGCCCCTCCTCCATTCCTCACGGAGACAATGTGGGCCAGCTCCCTTACGCTGCTAAAAATGGACAACTCCAACTTCCTATTATGAGAGAAAAGGGAATTTATTAGATTGAACAAGGGATATGCTCAAGTAGAAGGATGCTGTGTGTAAATGAGAGTCAGGGAGAAGTCCCTCGTCACGGGGTGGCTGTTCCGGCCTAGATCCTGAAGTCCAAATGTGGCATGGTGATAGTTTTCTACAGACCTGGAATCCTGTCAGGGAAGGGGACAGGGATGAGGCTGTGGATCTACTTCTTTGATCATTGTTTCCAGAACTTTGTTTATTGATTTTTGTAAAAAGTGGGAGGTTTGAAAGCGGAGAACTGTTCAGAACTTTGGTCTCTGAAGGTAACTGCAAAGCACTTGTGACAGGAGTGGTTACAAATTTGACCAGTCTCTCAGTGCATTAAGGAGGGGAGGAGCAGGAGGTAGAGTAGCGGTGAAGGGCAACCTCACAGGACCTCAGAGAGCTGTGTCCAGAGTTTTCATTACCTGTTCTTAGAATTGGGAATGGCCACCTATCCATTGCATAGGAAGGATCAAATGGGCAGTAATGGCCCCACCCATTTCAAGGAATTCTTTGCAGTACTTAAAAAGAATGAAGATAATTCGTCAGGTTAGAAAACATATGTACACTATATCATTTATGTTTAACAAGTTAGAGCAATTATGTACACATATTTATGAATAGGGGTATAGAAAAGGACATGGGTCTACATACATCACACTATCTTTAGAGGGAGATGTTGGATTGTTGGTATGATAGTCAAGAGGGGATTTATCTGTAAAATTTAGACTTGTATTCCTGTATTATATAATTAAAAATTTTTTAAAGGCTTTTAGTAAAATGAATGTTTAGGAAAAAGAAGCAAGTGGGAAAAGAATCACTCCACGTGACAGAGAGACAGGTGAGTTTTGTGCCAGGCTGGGTAACAGTTTCAGGATGGGCCCTGAAGAACTGGCTCCTCTCTCGCTGTAGTCCTAGGATGGACATGCTGCCCAGAGCATTGAGGCCTTGCCCACTCCCTGGCCAAGTGACAAGTGTGCCACACCACAGCAAGCACAAAAGGAGAACAAGTTCCCTTCAACTAACTACTACTCTCTCCTTGGCCTCAGGCCTTGCTTGATTCACGTGCTCCAAGGGCTGTGTCCACATCTGCTCCCACACCTTGGGCAGTGGCCTCTGTGACAGCCACAAGTTGCTCTGAGTTCCTGTACAATGTAAGCAGTGTAAATCCTTATACAGCTGTCCTTGGGTCACTATGGGGGACTAGCTCCAGGACCCTGCAAGTCCCTTATATAAAATGGTGCACTATTTACATACACATCCTCCCTTAAACTTTAAATCACCTCTAGATTACTGGTAATACCTAATACAATGCAAATGTTATGTAAATACTTGTTACTCTGTATTGTTTGGGGCCTAGTAACAAGAAAAAAGTCTGTATAAATCCAGTAGTAATGATTTTTAAAATTTGTATTTATTTTTGCAGTACTGAGAATTGAACCAAGGACTTTTGCACTGAGCTACAACCCCAGTCTTTTTTTAATTTTTAAATTCTGAGATGAGGTCTTCATAAGTTGCCCAGTCTGGGCTAGAACTTGTGATCCTTCTGCCTCAGCCTCCCAGAGGGCTGGCATTACAGGAGTGCACCATCAAGCCTGCTTCATGCAATTAAAAAAAAAGTTCTGATCCAAAGTGAAACCCACGGACGCAGAATGTGTGGATGTGGAGGGCCAGTGATGTTACAGGAAGAAGTGGTGACTTGTCCATTCTCTGCTGGGGCCAGCTTTCCTCCACCTATTGCTCTGGGAGCAGGAAGAAGGGCAGACAATGGGGGAGGAGAACGTTGGACCAAAGTGGCTGTCCTACTTTGTAGCCTTGCATTTCTAGCACAGTGAGAAGTGGAAGCTGTCAGGAGAAAGGGACAGTGGCTTGGAGTCATCATTTACCCAGGTAAGAAGTGCAAACCCCTGGCAGAAAGCCCAGCAGCCAGGTGCTCAAATCCTGGGACTGACATAAGCAGCCGAGGCCTGGATTTCACTGGGAGAACAGGGCCCCAGTGTCCCCTCCCTCATGGAGAGACTACCCAGGCCAGTCTCCTTGTGTGATTACTACCAACAGCTTCTCACAGAAGGAAATTCTGTGACCTATATCAATAGTGGGAAGATGATCTGGGTTGGAAGTTCAGAGACATGAATAAAGAACAAATAAAGTGGCAAATTTGGGATGATTCTAGGTAAATGTGGGCCATATGAAATAATAAATACAACATCTAAGGTTGTGCTGGACATTGCTGCCAGTCATTGCCTTTGCTCTTGTGTCACACTGCAGGGTTAGAGATGAGAAGCATATTGCTCAGATTCCCAGGCCAGCAGGATCCCGCTTAGGTTCTGACAGTGAGAAACATCTACCTATAGGAGTTGTGAAGATGGCAGAAACACAGGGACCTTCTTGCTTCTGTCCCAATAGCCATGGCAGGACCAAGTGAGGGCATTGAGCCTGATGTCAAGTAGCTCTTTCTGCAGTTCCTGCTAACATTCCTGTACCCCTATTTTGTTTCACCAGGCTTTCCAACACATAATAGCCAAAATTCCCATATGAAATTTGCTTGAAACACCTAGGGTAATTTCTGCTTCACTGACTAAACTTGCTGTCACACAGGATCCAGCACACACACACACACACACACACACACACACACACACACACTGTGGAATTAAAATGCACAGTGACAACAGTATCTACACTGGGAAAGAGTTAACAACGTCAAGTGATTTTAAGATTCTTGATTGTTTGGAAGGAAGGCAAAGGTTTTGATTAACTTCTGACTGATATATAAAGAATGCATGCTGTGTCTTCTGGGTAATTACTAAGATAATAGAAAAAGGTTTTTAAAAAGTAGGATTAATTTTTTAAAATAGATAGTTATTCCAAAAGAAGGCAAGAAAAGAGAGAAAAGGCAATATGGAACAGGCAAGACAACTAGAAAGCAAAACTAAGGTGGTAAATTTAACTCATTTATATACAGATCATCTAATTATTCTAGTTAAAAGATAAAGACCCTCAGCATAAATTAAGAACAAACGCACTTTTTACAAAAATACATAAGAATACACAAAGGGTGAGTGACAAAGAGTAAAATAAGATAAACCATGAATACGCTAACAAAAGATAGCCTATGTATATTATGTTGTTATGTTCATTGTATTAATATGAGACAAATATTAAGGCTAAAAGTCTCAAAAAAGAAAAACAGGGCTACTTCATAGTGGTAAAAGTTGCGATTCATCTATAAAACATAATTGTGTATCATATACAAAGAAAGAATAATAAAAGAAGTGGAAAGGAAAAGCAAAACTGTCATTATTTATAGATAATATAAATTTTATATATACATAGTCCAAAAAGATCCATAAATAAACTATTAGAATAAGTTTGACAATATTGCTAGATACAAAATCAGTGTATGTAAAATTATTCACATTTCTGTATCCAGTAACAAGAAGCATAGAAAAACATTTTTAAAAAATACATACCACTGGGGCCGGGGATTTAGCTCAGTGGTTTTGGCACCTGCTGCTCAAGCGCAAGGTCCCGAGTTCAATCCCCAGTACCAAAATAAAACACATACCATTTACAAGAGCATCAAAGAAATTAAATTACCTGGAATAAAACTAACAAAAGATGTGTGGTCCCCTTGTGGTTTAATTATAAATCTGTATAAAAAGACATCTTTAAAAGACTTCAAAAAGGCAGAAATATACCTGGTTTGTTTGATCCATACCTTTCAACACATACCAAAGTTGTGATCACAGACTTAAATGTTAAGTCCTAAAACTATACGAAGAGACACAGCAGAAAACCTTTGTAACCTTGTATTTGTCAAAGATATCTTAAATATTACAATGAAAGCACAATCCACAAAAAAAACCAAACTGATAAATTACACTGTATCAAAAAATGTTTACTCTTCAAAAGATACTGTTAAGAGAACGAAAAGACAAACCACGAACTGGGAGAAAAAACATTTGTACATCAATATCTAATGAAAAAGTTGTAACCAAAAAATATAAAGAATCCTCAAAACTCAAGAGTAAGAAAACAACTCAGTTAAAAATGAGCAGATTTGAAAAAAAAAAAAAAGAGCAGATAACTCACCAAAGAGGATATATGAATGGAAAATAAGCGCATGAAAGGAAGTTTAACATCATCATGGAGGGAAGGGAGGGGGCACTAGGGAGAAGGGATTATAAAGAAGAATGAAGAAATATCTGGGGCTGATGGATATACTCATTAGCTTGATTGAAGGGTTGGTTTTATAGGTGTATATATGTCAAACTGTATCAAATTGCATGCCTTAAGTAAGCATAATTTATTGTATGTCAATCATGCCTCAGTTAGGCTATTTCTTTTTTAAGATTTCAATAAACCAAAAGTATACCATGTTTGTGGGCTGGCAAACTAAACAGGCTCCTCAGTTTGATTTATACATTGAATGGAATCCCAATAAACCTTCCAGATGGGGGCCGGGGATTTAGCTCAGTGGTTCAGCCGCCTGCCTCGAAAGCCCAAGGTCCTGAGTTCAATCCCCGGTACCAAAAAGAAAACTTCCAGATGGCTTTTCTTTTCCTTCTGTGGAACTGATGGCTCATTCTAAACTTTATATGGAAATCCAAAGGACCAAGAATATTCAAGACACTTGAGATTCTTCCCTCAAGATCTGAGAATTTGACGGATAAAATAAAAAGTTATTACAAATCTCTAGTAAACAAAGCAGTGTGGTGCTGAGGGATAGACTGGCAGACCAACAGAACAGAAGAGTGCAGAAATAGATTCATGCTTCTATGAATACTTGGCACATGGCAGAGGTGGATCACAGAGCAGGGGGTAGACTTTGTAATAAACAGTGCTGGCATAGCTGAACATTCATATAGGGAGGCGACAATTGGGATTCTATCTCACTCCATGCAGAAAAATCAATTCTAGGGGCTGGGAGTCAGCTCAGTGGTAGAGTGTGTGCTTGACATGCTCGAGACCCTGGGTTGGATTCTCAGCAGACACACAAAATGTCTAATCACTCATGAGGTTGCTTCCTGGCAGCTCTCTGAGTCACTCCAACAGCAGGTGCAGCTTGGCTGTCAGCTGTGATGCACCTCCCCTGCTCTTGCCACTCCAGATGATGTCCCTCCTCTTTGAAGAAGGTGGAGGAGCACCCTAACATGGCCCAAGGGAGGTATCTGGGCCCATTAACATCCCCACCCCAACCCCCAAATCCTAACAACTGTGATGAACATAGCTAGACCTCCTGAAGACTCCCTGGTTTCAGCCCTGACATTTTTTGAGGCAGTGCAACAGCTATCAATCAAACAGCTCACCTGCCCATGATAGCTGGGCTGTCTTGGATTCCCCTTACCCACCCGCTTGAACTAAGCACAGTCTCCAATCAGCAGGCCCAAATTTAAACCGATCACAGACCTACACTTGGACCAATCACAGGCCTATAGCTGCTATATAAACAGCATTCCCCTCATACTTCTTGGATTAGTCTAGGAGGGCTGTCTCTCTGTATTGGCCTTCCTGTGCTGCTGCACAGGTCATGTTGAAATAGTTTCACTCTAGTCGTCCTATAAATTTACTTCATTTATTTCTTGGGTATCGTGGTCTCTGAAGCAATTGCTTTAAAGAAAGAGCAATAGGGCCAGGGATTTAGCTCAGTGGTTTCACCGCCTGCTGCGCAAGCACAAGGACCTGAGTTCGATCTCTGGTTCAAAAAAAAAAAAAAGAAAGAGTAATAAACATTAGGGGCTACTATTCCTGAAGAGGTCCAGAGACCAACAGCCAATGAAGGGTGGCAGCCAACAGCAGCAGAGACCAGTACCCAGCAGCGACAACTGTTGGCATCCAGCATTAACTGGCATTAAGTGGTAACATCAGGGCTGCTAGCAGAGCTGTACTATGCCGATGCATAATTTCTATCTTACTCGAGGTAAAGAACCCTCAACTAATTGGCAACATCAGGGCAGAGAAAAAATTTTTAATCATACAAAAAGTACAAATATAAAGGAAAACATTAACAAACTTGACCATATTAAAATTAAGAACTTTCCTTCTTAAGAGTGAAAAAAAGTCCATACACAGACAGAAGATACTTGCAAGACATGAACAAACCCCCGCCCCAAAAAGTGTAGTAGCAAAATTATATAAATAACAGGCAATGCAGTAGAAAGTTGGCAAAATTTTTCCTAGGTACTGCATAAAAGAGAAAATTCAGATGGCTAATAAAAATATAAAAAGGTGTTTAATTTCATTAATAATCAGGAAAATGCAAAATGGAACCACAAAGAGATATTGCTATGTTCATATAGACCATAGGACAATCAAATTCTGACATCACCAAACATTTAGTGAGGATATGGAGTTATGGGAACTCTTATACATGGTTTATAAAGTGCAACCACTTTGGCTAACAGTTTGGCATTTTAAGGCATAGATGAATGCAAGTCTACCTAGACAAATTCATGTAGTACACCTGCACCAAGAGTTATGGACAATGAAGGCCAGGCGTGGTGGTGCATGCCTATAATTTGAGCACTCGGAAGGCTGAGGTGCCACAAGTTCAAGGCCATCTCGGGCTACATGGTAAGTTCAAGGCCAGCCTGAACTATATAGCAAGACCCTGTCTCAAAAGAAAAAAAAAGAGTTAAGGACAATGAGCCAGGTGTAGTGGCACACACTTGCAATTCCAGCTACTTGAGAGGCTGAGGCAGGAGGATCGTAAGTTCCAGGCCATCTCAGGCAACTTAGTGGGACTCTGCCTCAAAAGAAAAATGAAAAGGAGTGGAGGAATAGTTTAGTGGTTCAATCCCCTATAAAACCAACCAAATAAATAAATAAGTTATGGACAATAGGTGCCTATGGCAACTTTGTTGCTAAACCAGAATACTAGAACCAGA